GAAACTATAAAATACGACGTAGCAGATTTCAGAAAGAGCCAAATAGAAATTCTGAAACTGAAAACACCAATAAACAAAATTAAGAGAACAATAGATAGTTTAACAGTAGGCTAGATGCAGCTGGAGAAAGAACTCATGAATGACACATAGATCCCAAGGTTAGAATGTAGGGTGACAGTAAACATCCTTAGCAATATATATTGACATCCAGGAGGTTGTACTCAAAATACTGAGGATGCAATGTGCGACATGAATATGTCCACAACACCAGTGGTGGCTATCTACCTGGGATGATAATGGGGAGGCAGGGTGATGATCTGCACAGAAAGTGATCTTGGATGTGCTACCTTACTTCTATGACTTCTCAATTGTTCTATTCTCAGTTGCACAGGGACATTGAAATAAAGTAGTAGGATCTTTAGTTCCTAAAAATATTTCGTAGATTCTATAAGGGACAAAAATACACTACTTGCTGAGATTGTCTTATATGTAACGTCTTCTTGCAGGTTAAAGTTAAAGGAAGTTTAAATTAGTTGTTCTTTTGAATTTTCCTCTGAAGTGAATAATTGTTACAATTTTTGTCCTGTGTGTTGATCTAAAATCTGTCACATACCCATTTCATATTAGGTATATAGTTACCTGTTTTAGTTTAACAAATTTAAAGTTTTAAGAATATCAATAATTAAAAGTTCAACTTGTATTTGCTTAGTCCCATTAAATTTCCTGAATATGGCTTTTTGCGTCTTAGATTAGATGTCTACAGGTCAGGTCTGCCAGTATTCTACTGGGAGGATGAGCCTGCAATTTTATGACCCTTTAGTGTGACTTTTTTCCTGGCCTGCGGAGGTCTTCCTACCCAAGGGATAATGTAGACAGTTGGAGGAGTTATAAAATCTTGTTTCCTTCTTTCCTACTTACTCTCATGGTATTACAAGGCATTAATCACTTACATACTTTGCTCATACTCTCTGTGGTTTTCCTTAAATGTTGTCCTTAATCACCCTTCCTCCTGACTGCTTGAGTTCTTGCTTGCATTTATGGATAGCTATCATAGTTGAGACTTTATTTGTTCCTAGAAGTACCCATTCCCCCTAAAGGGGCCATTGCTGTCTTTTCCCTGGCTCCGGCTGGTTCATTATGCTTTTAGATTTGCTTTCTCAGGACCACGAGAGGGCGACGTTTTCTATCTCTTAGTCATCATTTCTAGCAAACAGTATCAATTTGCAAACACTGTGGGCTAATATTTTAAAATACTAACCAGTAATTTCTTGATATATTTAAAGATTAATATCATTAAACAACACAATTTTAAGTTTACAGAAATATTGAGCAGAAAGTACAGAGAGCTCCTCTTTATCTCCTTTCCCATTACCCTACAGTTAATCTTATTGCTAATATCTTGCATTAGTGTCATAAATTTGTTACAATTGATGATCCAATACTGACACATTTTATTAACTAAATCCAACAGTTTACATTCTGATTTACTCTTTATGTTGTATATTATGTGGGTTTTGACAAATGTATATACCTACTGTCTCTGTATCTGTATTACACAGAATAGTTTCATTGCCCTAAAAATCCCCTGTACTTCACCTGTTCATCCTTCCTCTCCCCAGAACTCTGGCAGTCACCGACCGTTTTACTGTCACCACAGTTTTGCCTTTTCCAAAATGTCATCTAGCTGGAATCGTATAGTATATATCTTTGCATATTGGCTTCTTTTGCTTAGCAGTATGCATTTAAGATTACTTCATGACTTTCTGTGACTTGATAACTGACTAATACTCCATTGTATGGTTTACCACAGTGTTCTTATCCATTCAACTATTGAAGGACATCTTGTTTACTTCCAGGTTTGGCAATTATGAGTAAAGTTGCTATACACATTTGTATGCAGATTCTTGTGTGAACTAAAGTTTTCAGTTCATATGGGTAAATACTAAGGAGCACAATTGCTTGATCATATGGCTAAGAGTATCTTAAGTTTTGTAAGAAACTGCCAAACTGTCTCCCAAAGTAGCTGTACCATTTTGCATTTCTACCGGCAATGAATGGGAGTTCCTGTTGCTTCATATCCTTAGCAGTATTTGACGTTACCAGTGTTGTGGATTTTAACCTTTCTAATAGGTGTTTAATGGTATCTCATTGGTTTTAAATTTGCAATTTCGTGCTGACATATGATGTTGAGCCTTGTTTCCCGTATTCTGAATAATTGCCATCTGTATGTCTTCTTTGGTGAGGTGTTTGTTCAGGATTTTTGCCTATTCAAAAAAATTGTATTGCTTGTTTTGTTATTGTTGAATTTTATGAATTCTTTCTATATTTTGCATGCCAGTCCTTTATCAGGTATATGTTTTGCTAAGATTTTTCTCCTAGTCTGTGGCTTGTCTTTTTATTTTCTTAACACTATCTTTTGCAGTGCAGAAAAATTTAACTTTAATGAAAGTCTAACTTACCAATTTTTCCTTCATAGAGTGTACTTTTGATATGCTATCTAAAAAGTCATCACCAAACCTAACATTATCTAGATATACTCCCACATTATATATACTAGGAATCTCTGGCTTTGCATTTTATGTTTAGGTATATAAATTTTTTTTAAGACTCCTCTATTTTTATTTATTTATTTATTTTTTGCATTTTTTTCTAGGTCTATGAAATTAATTTGAGTTAATTTTTGTGAAATGTGTAAGGTCAATATCTATTCTTTTCTGTCTCTTCATATGACAATAATTTTGTATTATCATTTTATGGTCCAGTCTTTTCTCTAACACTATTGATTAAATTTGATTGATTTTTTTTTGGTAATTTAGAAAAGTTTCTTTCAACTTTATATCTTGTGGAAATTTAAGTTCAAAACCCATTTCCACCAAATACTAGCTCCTGAGTGACCTTGGAAATGTTACTAACACAAAGCTTTAGATTCCCCATTGGTTAAATAGGGGTGTTACTTTTAATGCTGTGGCTCTTCTTCTATTATATTTAGACCTGCATTGTCCAATATGGTAGCCACTAACCAAATGTGGCTGTTAAGCACTTGAAAGGCTAGTCTAAATTAATATGCAAATAGAAATACACATCTACTTCCAAAGATTTAGTAACACCACCTCCCCAAAAAAGATAAAATAGATCATTGATTTTTTTGTATTGCATATATGTCAGGCTATAATATTGTATATATACACATATACATATACATATACACACACACATAGGGTTAAATAAAATATATTAACATTAATTTCACCTACTTTTTACCTTTTTCATGTGGCTACTAGGAAATTTTAAATGACATATGTGGTTCATGTTATATTTCGATTGGACAGCACTTCTCCAGACCTTGGTATCCATTTGCCTTACCAAGACTAAATTAGAGCTTAGTTTTTCAAAAATATTTTGTACTTCCCACATAGAATGCTCTCACTATACATTATTTCCCTTTGCTTTGTACGCCAAGCAGAGTTTGTCACCTAGAACAAGGGAGGTGTTATTATGACTTTTTGCCATCTAATAAGGATGTAAATAGGATGTTACAAAAATAACACAAACACAAGGGAAGGAAGGGCAAATAGAACTGGGTGAAAGTGGTGAGGCAGAGATGGATTGATTATGAAGCTAATAAAGCTTAAGCTTCAGGGCCTTTTACTTGCCCTGGCTCCTTCCAAAACCCCAAGGGGATGCTAGCAATGTGTTCACAGAGTCTTATGTTTGTAGCTCTTGAAAATGTAAGATATTTTAACTACAACCAGTAACAACATCTGTCTCTCTCCATGGTGGCTTTCCTTTCATCATACTTTGCATCAAAAGGCATTGGGATGATCATAGGTATTTTTGAGATTTGCCTAAGAAAGGTTGAATTGAGGAGAAATTGATTTTGAGTTTAGTGGGATAAATGTATGTGGTTTGTGAATGATTCAGTTGCTCTCGTTGTTCCACTTTAGAAATGGCTTTCAGGAATACTCCTACCCCTTACCGTCTTATCGAACTCATCATGTTAACCTTGTGGGATGTCTATAACAGGAGTTTTTGCCCCTGTTTTACAGATAAGTAAAATGAAGCTCATAGAGACTCTTTTTTTTTTTTCTATAGAGGGTTACCTAGGAAATCTTTCGATTAACACTTGTAGTAAGTATCACATGACACTAATGGCAAAATAATTTACTCTCATTTGACTATAAAAATCTTGAAAATTCATAATATGTTATTCAGCTCTGCACATCTAAAACACCATGGCTAATAAATCTTTAGCCACTACTAAATTTTTAACCATCTGAAAAACTTAACATGGAATATATTTTGTGAGTATATATTTAGGTTTGTTCCATACTGATGAGGCTGATGAAAATATAGTGGGAAATGTTATTAATATCTTTTGATCTCAAGTGAAAATGTTTAAATTCAATGCCCATGTCTTTCCTACGTGGGGCCTCTCTGTAGTTTGTATTAATGCCTCTCAGTCCCTCCCACTCTGAATGGAGTGCAATGGTCTGGGCTATACACTTAAATAAGATTAAATTCTACCTTTTAGATGTGCAGAGCAAGAGTTTCTTTAGTGAGTACTTTTATCAATGTCATTGCTAACTCTCAGACATACCAAACTAAACATTAAATGCCAGAATCACTAGTATATAAGCAGCTTGAGGATAGGCAATATGACATAATTTTTGGCTTTTGCATATTTTAGATGCACATATAATTTGCTTTTAATTTGCAATTAATTTGCTTGTTGAAAATTAAATTTGTGGCTCCTGTGGGAGACAGTGGGTCTTAAGGTGGTTGTGAAGAAATTAGAACTTGTCCTTAGACAGCTGGATGTCCACTCCCATGAATGCTGCACTGCCTGCTTCCAGAGAAAGTCTAGACCGTGAGTAATCACCTAGGTGTCCTGAGGTGATGGAGTTTCTGAAATGGTCCGACTTTCTTTCACCAACCCCCAACTCCGCAAAGAAGAAAAAGAGTCAATTTCAAAATACATTTTAATATATATATCATCCAGGTCCAAAGTGGCATAATGTTATATTTCAAAGACAAATTTATCCATTTAATTCTAGTATTCTTTTTCAGAAGTCAGTATTCTCCAGGAAGTATATATTTTCAGAAATTTCAAGAACATTTCTATAGGTAAACTAAGAATGAATTTCTTCTGATACTCTCCAGTGTGTCTCAGCCTATTCCGTAATATGATCAATGAAAAAGATTCTCATGTGTCATCACATTTGAGGTGGCTTAGTTGAAAAAATTTGAGACAGCTTACTGAATTCCTGGAATAAAATAAAACACTTTTAAATTTAGGTAAAAGCATTGAATTTAAACATTTTAATTTGAGATCAAAACTTCTTTTCTAGGGTCAAGAGTATCAATAGCGAATCATCCTTTTGTCCATTTGGACATTTGAAACACTTGGGTCTGGACATCCTCACAGATTAAACGATTATCTCTGTTGGTGCTAGAAGAGCTTATTTTTGCCACGTTTTAAAAGTTCCATCTGAGGGGAATGGCACGTGGGTTCATCTACTGTGCTAACTGCATCTATTACTAGTGGCTGCTTGCAACCTTATGTTAGGAAGATTCTGAGACTCATCCATGATTAGGGAGTAGAAAAGAATATCTTGATTGATTAGCTGTGTCCTGTGTGTGTTTGAGGGTTGTGGGGGTGGGGAGGATAGGAAAGGGAGAGCACCGTTTGTTTCCAAATATTTCTAGCTCTGATTTAAAATAGAAGATAAGTTATGCCAGCAATTAAATGTCTTCTTTCTGGTAGATTTGATAGGGTTGGTAGCCTAGTGAAAACACTCCCTCACATTGCTGCAATCAAATGTGATGAATAAAAGGGCTCCCTGGTATTACTGGGATCTGCATTTGTCAAGGCAAGAATTCTCCTTCCACTTTGCAGATGACTTTCATGGCCCAGGGGCACATGAGCGGCTTGGAGAATTTACCATTTGGCGATGGTGTGGTGGTTTCCTCCATAGTGTGTGTGCCCCTTTGGATGCCTGCAGGGGTGGTCACTACAAAGTCATCATCTGTGCCACTGGAAGTTGGGAGGGGGCCCCTGTGGCGTTCCCTGGTTGGCAGAATTTACTCCTGTTTGTCCTGCAGGAAGGATTCCGTTCTGGACATCTGGATTAGCCTGACTGGTGGGCTGGATGGCTCCAGGGAACAAGGGATGGAAGATAAGGCCTGTGAAGATTTGCGGGGCTGCTGGCTGGAATGAGGGAAGGAAAAAGAAAACAAAGTCAAAAGAACACATTTTAAGGCTGGTCAACCACCTTTTTCTTCTTGGTGGGTAGCAAGTTTGGGTAGGATTTGCAGATGGAGAGGGTAGAGCCAGTAAAGATTGAGCCTTCCTCGGAGGAAATGCCACCCCCACCTGAGCCAAGCCTGATGCTGGTTTCATTACTAGGATTCCTTGATGTGCTCCATTTCCCTCAGGAGGGGAGAGCCAGAATCAAGTCAGGCCCAGGAAAAGGAAACATGCATAATTTGTTCGTATCAGGTACAGCTGCAGGTAGAGCTAAGGCAGAGAATCCATACATTACAGTGGGTTGTATCTCTGTTATTGACCTAAATCATAGTCTTTCACCCATATATATTTTAAAGTAATTTAAGAGATAAAATTAATGGAAAATTAATGCAATCAATCCTTCTCTCATGGTTTGCATCCCTTCAGATTTCTTTTAAGGTATTTTTCAAAGGCATTGGAATATTTAGTCAGAAATCTTTCTTTTGGTAATTCGACCACTGGTGTATTCCTTGAGGTTATTCAGTGGATCTCCTCTCTATTGGACTGTCAATGATTTGCACACTGGTAATGAATGCTGTTGCTGCCTACAATTGTTCTTTTTTCCCCCTGGGAAAAAATTACTGTGAAATTTCTTCCAAAGAAGAAATAATTTGAAATCAGCTAGTTTCAGAGAGAAGTCAGGCAGGAATCAGCTGGTTTTAGAGAGAGTTCGATGGGATTCTCGAAGAACCAAAGGGTTGAAGTCTCATAATTAAGATACAGGTCCATTTCCTTGAGTGCGGTTCTCAATTGTTACTTTGCATAAGAGCCACTTAAGAGGTAGAAATATGCACTTTCAACCAGCACTCCAAGTTGTCCTGGTTTGATGGTCCAGGACTGAAGTTTGGAAAACACTGTCTTAGATTTATGTTGTACTGAAACCAGAATTCGACTTATGCCGGATAAGAGACAGGAGTAGAGTACAGAAGTTTTCAGGTTAGGGGTTGTGACATCCATGCATTTGAAACAAAGAAAGTGGGTGGTACCATCATTTAAAAGTAAGACAACAATAATAGATTATAAATTACCAAGTGCATTCTATATGTTAAGGGTAAATATTGTTTCATAAAATGCATTTGTGTTGGCTGCATGAAAAATAAAGCTGTTACTATGGATTTCACTAAAAAAAAAATGAAAATCACTGGTACAGTGGATAGAAGAATGATTTTCAATCTGGATCTATTCTTTTTTGACCTTGGGACCTAAGTTGAGTAAGCTTTCAGAGCCACAGTTTCTATTTCTGTAAAGTTGGATTAAAAATCTCTGTTTTGTAATTTGTTGAGGATTAGAGGCCATATGTGTAAAAAGGTCTACTAAAATCCCTGTTTTTACAGAATTGGGTCAATAACTGGTAGATATGGGTGCTCATGTATAAATGTTGGCAAAATTGTTACTTTATTTTATTTATGGACAGTCTATCAAGTCTCTACCTTTTCCATAATAGAAACATTTAAAGAACTGTCTTCCCAGATATTGCCTCAACTCTTTAGTTCAGTATCATGTTTAGATACATTAATTCAAGTCATTTTTTTCTAAAAATGACTTATGGGGAAATATATAGAAGTGTTTAGTAATGGTAATATGAATTTTACCTAGGTTCAGCCCTCTAATTATTCATATGTATAGTGAAGAGTTCATTCATCACCATAAGAGGATAATTTCCTCCAAGAATTAAAAATTTGTCAAGAAAATAAATCTTTCCTGCAATAAATACCAATATATGTATTGTTCTACATCTGCATGCATTTCAATAACTTACAGTCCCATATTTTAATCAATCTAAAGTGTAAAAATATGCATTGGCTTTTGGGATAGAACTGAATCTAACATCAAATACAGAGAACAAAAGTTAAGTCAAGTTAATGGGAAAGTAGATGGAGAAGGATGATGAAATCCCCAGCTGGACAAAGGATTTATCTAATGCGAAAACCTATAAAAATGTTCAGTTCATTGTAGTATGCACCAGGTTTAGGTTTTGTGATCAAAAGAGACTATATGAAAGCATTATATTAAAAAAAAAAAAAAGAAAACAGCATTGTGGTAGCAGTGAAAAGAATTTGAAATGCTAGTAATTAAAAAAATTTTTTTTTTTACCAATTCTTCTGAGCTTAGGATAGTACCCTAAAGGGAAAATAATAACACAGATTATTAGGCAACTTTTAATATATTTGAGGCAAGATATAAATAACATAACTTTAAAACTTAAAATAATTTTAAAGATTATAAAACAGATGTATACATTTTTAATTTTCAGTAATAGTTTAAACTGCCTTTGTGACTTGTATCACAAAACTCAAGTCAGCACATGATATTGCACTGCTAACATTTATTATCTGAGTGATGGGAAGTCTTCTGCATTTAAAAAATTATATATATTTCTATTATTAAGTAATAGGTGCATATTAGAGGAAACTTGGACTTTGCAGAAAGCAATAAAGAAAAAAATATAATCCCATCATGCAGAATTTGATATATTTTCTCCAGATGCTTTTCGAACATTTCTTTTTAACATACTAGAAGTCATGTCATTTATACAATTTGTCTTACCTTTTCTTTTAATACTACATGATAATCATTTAGCCATATTACCAACAAATTTTAATAAATATACTTCTGAATGGCCACAGAGTATTTGCTTTTATGTTGTACAGTTTACTTAATAATTTTCCTTTTGTTTAAATTTAAGTTGCACCTAATAATCTTCTCTACTATAAAAATTATTTTGATCAAAATATTTGCACATAAACTTTAATTAATAAAGTTAAATAAGATTTAATGTGAATTTTATATTTGATTCCGCTTTTAGAAGTAAAAGCTGCCATCTGATGCTCATATTTGATCTTGGCTCTTGGTGATTTTATCATTGATCTCAAGAGTTACCTTTCATAAAGGAAAATAGGGAGAGATGAAAATGTTTTATTATTTTCAGGGAAAAGGTATATAGTTAATAAGTAAACTTGAGATTAAAAATTCCCCAAATTATTTATTATTAGGTAAGTCCATTAACTTGTTTTAACACTGTGGTTTAAATGATTGTTTGCTTCATCTGTGACATTTACTAACTGTGTGATTGTAGCTGAGTAACTATAAGATTGCCGGCACTCATCTTCAAATTGGAAAGAAATATATTGTCTATAAAAGTTTGCTTTGAAGATTAGGTGAGGTAGTACATAGTAAATAAAAAGGTGCTTAGCTCAGTACCTGGCACATAGTAAGTGCTCAGTAAGTGTTAGTTCTTGTTATTATCAGTGTCTATAAGGTGCAAAGTAGATAGGAAACTTGGTGACTATCTGGTGAATTGAGACAGGATTAAATATGTCATGCTAAGATGATTTAAAATAAAAATCTTATTACAAAATAATCTTACCTGGACTCCAAGGTGTGCTACTATAACTGGTAATATCTGAAAAAAAAAGTGAAAAATTTAGTAAAAGAGATATTAAAAGGTAAGTTCTGGCAGATGATATAAATATTGAGACTTTCTTAAAAGTATACAATATGTGTTGAACAAATATTTGTGTGAATGTGTCATCTATAATCATAGATGTAGACTCATAGAGCCAGACTGGAATTGGCACTCATCCAATCTGAAAAAGAAAATTAGACTCAGAGAGATTTAGAAACCAGTCCAAGGCAGCACATTTAAAAGGTAGACGTTAGTAAATTGGATGAACAAAAAATAATTTTGGTCTCAAGCTATCTCAAAACTTAAAATTATTCCAAGTAGTCATGAAGATAAAACACATATTTCTTTTCTATGGCATCTCAGAAGACACATGAAAACATGGAATGGATATTTTAAAATACAAAGATTTCTTGAAGCATATGTATTTAGTCTCATAATGATTACCTGGATATTTTGCTATTAAAATTGAGCACTGCTCGGAAAGTGTGGATGATGCTGTCCAAGAACCCCAATCCTAGCAGAGCTCTTAGAGCTAAGTGAGAAATACTGGTCCCTGACAACTTTGTAAATGCTATGAATTTATAGTTGAAAAGACTTGGGTGAGATGCTGGTGTGCTCTAGCAATCTAAGAACTAAAGTTACGGTTTGTCAAATAAAAACTAGGGTTCCAAGGTTTATTTTTATTTCTATAGAAATTCACATAATGTCACAGAAGTTACCAAAATGGAAAATAAATTTATGGTTACCAGGGGGAAGGATG